GAGAGGTTGGACTGCCTCACCCGCTACCCAAGGGAGGCGGTGGCCCTGGCGAAGAGCACACTCTTCGGGGCTCCGAACATTTCGAACGGATAGGCTACCACACACACACAACAACAAAACAACAACAGGAACAACAACAACTTACATCATATTTGCTCCAGTACAAGTTGAACTCTATCTTTGGCGCAAAACAGACGGTGGTGGGGTCCACTGACATAGCCAGGGCGGGCAGGAGGGAGAGGAGAGGGAGGAGGTACTTCATCATGAGGCTGAGGGAGGTACAGAGCAACTGTTGCAGCTTCCTGGGAAGAGTGTGAGTGTGATGCGTGCGGTCAGGGTTTTATACTAGTCTGTCTGACGTGTCGTTCTATGTCCTAGTATTCTAGTACTGTAACCTCGTCCTCTTTATCACATCGGATACGGGATATCGAGTAAAAACTTTCAGGAAAAAGAAAAGTCATCATTTATTAAAACTTTTTTTTCTTCATATTTTCAGATTATTGTTCTACTTTTTGGCTGATGAAAGTTGGCCAGTGTTTCTAACAAAGAGATACGATGTTGATTCGGCACTGCAAGCGTGTCTCTGTGATTTGGAGAAAGGTTATCTGTTTTTCACATAATGATAAGATTGGATAACTTTCTCTAACTTCACTACCGGCAGTTGTCTGGGTTTATCATGACCGTTGTGAGCATCAAAAGGGGGCTGGGGTTGGGGGGGGGTGCACATGATAAGTGAGGCATCGTGGTGAAATAACGCGCTCGTCAAAATAATAAAAACGAAGATATTGGCATTTTCCCGCCAGGTTGACCACTTTTTTCGAATAAAAATGTGTTTTTGTTTTTGTTTTGCTCAACATCTTTTGTGTCCATTCAAGAATATTAAGTGCGGGTTTTACTGGAACACGTTAATTAAAGGCACATGGAAAGAACATTTCATATGACCTTACGCAGCTGTGAGCGCTGTAAAACCCTGTACTACTAACTGTGAATCGTGCTGACAAAATGAGTTACTTCTCGGATTCAAAACTTATATGGAAAAAGATATAGACCTATCACGCTTAGAGGTGAAGTTTTTAATCATTTATTAGTAGGGCCTATGGAATAATAACAGGCATGTTATAGTTAAAGAATTTGGCATTAATAAAAAAATTCTTCAAATTTGACCCTTGTGTCGAATTTTGGCCAATATCTCCATTTTGTAGATTGCGAGAAGTAACTCATTTTGTCAGCTGGCCTCACACTAACTAACAGACGTTGGCTGCCATTTTCTCGCTAGTTTTACCTGTGACACCAGGCTATCCCCTCGTCCTTCAATCACAAATTAATATCTCGACTTTTATTCATGCTTGGTTTGTATAGTTTTCATTGAAAGATGGGCAAATGAAGAAGCTTTAGGATGATATCAATAACTCCACATGGGCCCAAAACTGACGGGCGCCTGATTCCGCCATGTCGTGACATACACACATAAACATACACACACACACACACACACATACACACACACATACACACACGCACACACATACACACACACACACACAGACACACACACAGACACACACACACACGCACACACATACACATACACACACGCACACACATACACATACACACACGCACACA